GCAGATGGAAGGTGAATAATGGATAAAGGACTGAAATAATAATTCAGCATAAATGTGTTTAGTGTTTGTTCTCCTGTCTACACTTATTTAGATTACCCTTCTATTAGTTATTTTTTCAGTGATTTGTAGAATTGACCTAACCAACTCAATTGGGGGCCTTGAATGAAAAGTATATCTACTGGTCGATTTAGTATATATTCTTAAAATTAGCGTATGGTCTACAATAGTGAGGATCTGTAAAAAAAGTAATAGCAACATTTTAACGATTCCAGAATAGAGTATTGAGAAATATAGTAAATGCTCCTTGGTACAGTAGAAATGAAGACACCTATAGACACCTGGGCGTTGAATATGTCAGTAAAGTGTTAAGTAGACTTACAGGATACCATATAGAAGGCTCTATAATCAGACCAATATTGAGGCTATTCAGCTACTGAACAACAAGGGTTTAATTCTTTGTTCATCTTTCTTTTTAACAGCTTAACAATCAGTTCCGTTTATTATAGCTGGTTGTTTTTATATAATTGTTCCTTTAGCTTCATTGGAATTTGTCTGTTACACAATATACCACTCGCTTCCTCCCACTTCATCCATTCACACTAATTCTTAAAAGCAAAACAGAATACCACAAGAATGGAAAAAATATCTACCAATCTGCCTTATAATGAAAATTGCATCTGTTGTTGATCTGCCTTGCATAAAACCAAACTGAATATTGTACATTGTTATATATCTCCCTTGTTTTGTAAACAGGTACTAAATTCTTTGTTGGTACTTTTTCGACTTCCATAATTCTATTAAATAAACCTGTTAGTCAACTTGTTCCTGTGCCTCTTAATGCATTTCACACTTCCCCAGGACTATAATCTGGTCCAATTACTTTTTCTTTCGTTAATTTTTGAAGCTAATACTATCTAGGTAAACTCAACTGGTTGTCTGTGAAATTCTTCATTTAATAAAGTTTCAAAATAGTCTTTTCATTCCTTTTTGATATCCTTTTCGTAAAATAATATTTTATTATTTTCATCTCAGATACATCTAATCTGATTACAATTTTTTGCTTTCTTTGCTCTATGTTTGGGTATTTTATACATATATCTTTGTTTCTTCTTCTCTGGTCTCTATAGGATCGTATACGATTTATATTTATTTTATTAAAAGTTTATATTCCGGATGAACTGAAGCTGGGGATATATCCTATTCATTATGTATTAAATTGTATACTTCGTTGAATGTTCTGCTTTTGGTTGCATAATCAACTCTCACATATGTCCTTCAACTGATACAATTAGGAACTGAACTATACAAAATCCCTTTTGTTGATTATTTATGTCACAAAAACTACGTCAGCTAAATAAAATTTAAAATAAATCCTTGAATTGTAAATGAGATTAACATTTAGCCGAATAAATATATTGAAACAAATTAAAGTAGATCTATTTGTATTAATTTATTAAAAATCAAAAGTGTATACTGTTTTATTAATTAATATTCATATGTTTGTTCTTTTATTTAACATTAAACGCCATTTTTTATAATTTACTATCTTTTCTTTGATATTTTAACACCCTATATATTAATAACTTGCATTTGCTGAGCGCTTAAAAATATTCAGGATGGATCTACCTTTGGAAAATCGTGGTCTTCAACTAAAACTTATCACTACAACTGTTTCGGCAGAGTGCCTTTCTCAAGTGATCTATTTTTGTTATGCGTTTACACGTTATAGACTGAATTCAACTGAATAAGTTAAAGAAAGGAGAACTTTTTGTCTCAAGTATAACCAAAAATAACACCAGCATTTAGAACAAACAACAACATCACTTACACAGTAGTGTATAAAAACCTAAATGTGGCTACTGCCCAAAAACTTACATCGATCAAACTGGCAAACTTTTATCAAACGCATAGCAAAACACAAAAGACCTTTAAATAATAGAAACACAGGTTCTATGTACGCACTTCACCTACTCGACCATAATCATTCTTTTAATGACCAATTTCAAATTATTAGCATTCAAAATGAAGACCCTAAATTATCTTTATTAGAATCTATGGAAATTTAAAAATTAAAAAATACAGATATAATTATGAACTAACTTGATGACTAACTTGAGAAACTGTTCTACCCTCCTCAACTTCAATCGAAGTGTAAACGCATAAAACCAAAAATAAATTACTTGAGGAAGGCACTGTGTCAAAACAGCTGTAGTGATAATAAATTATAATAAATTTTGTGGAAGTGTTGAAAACAAACGTTTTCAGTGTTTTAATGTTAGATAAAATGAATCTCTATCAAAGAACGGTTGAATCCATCACTTAGTTAAAACTTACTGCTTTGTAAAAAAAAAAGAAATCAACAGAAAATAAAGAAAAGCAAACAATTGTTTGTTGGTGCTGATATCGGGTCGGACCATAACCCACTGGTAGTTAACATCAGACTAAAGCTGAAGAAGATAGAGAGTGCAAAAGCAAGAAAATACGATTTAGGACCATTAAAAAACGAAGACACCAGGCACCAGATACAAACCAACCAACCACCCAACCAATAGAAAAAGAATTAGGCTAATGAACCATATAACGAAATGGCAAAACTACAACAAATGAACCAGACAATCCTAAATAAATATCTTCGCCCAACAATGGTTAAAAAGAAAGAGTGGATTACTGATAAAATCCTAAATATGATGGAGAAAAGAAAAAGAGCTAAAAACAGAGACATGTGGGAATATAAACGAATTGACAAAGAAATAAGAAAAACTATTAGAGAAACCAAAAACATGGTTGGAAGATCAATGCAGAGAAATAGAATCATCGGAAAGTAGACACAACTCGTTTATTCTCCACAAGAAGGTAAAAGAAGCAACAGGAATGTACAAACCCAAGAGATCAGGACATATGACTGATGCTCATGGCTACCGGGTAATAGACATTAAACAAACAAAGAATCTATGGAAGAAATACGTTGAGAAGACATTCGACGATGACTGACATAACAACCAGATAAATATGGAATACGACACAGGACCACCAATCACTCAAGACGAAGTCTTGACAATTCTTACAATTAAAGCAACCAAAGCAGGTAAAGCACCAGGGCCCGACAACTTTCATTCAGAATTTCTAAAAATCATGGAAGACGAAGGAGTAAAATGGCTTACGGCAACGTTCAATAAAATCTATGACTCGGGAAAAAGCCCAGAGAGCTGGTTAAAATCTACATTTATTGCTATACCTAAAAAACCTAATGGAAAAAAATGCGAAGAGCGTATTATCAGTCTAATGAGCCACATTCTTAAGACCTTCTTAAAGATAATACACAGAAGAATTGATCAGAAATGCGTGTCAAAAATCTCACGAATGCAGTTTGGATTCAGGGATGAGTTAGGTACAAGAGAAACCTTATTCGCGGTTTAAGAAATTATTTCAAAGGTGAAGAGACGTCAACTGCGATATTTATGCATGCTTTATCGACTACCAGAAAGAGAATCAAGTACGCTAAGCTCATAGATATACTAAAGGCAACTCATCTGGATAACAAAGACCTTCGAGTAATCAAGAACATATACTACAACCAATCAGCAACCATTCGGGTGAAAGACCAACTAAAAGAGGAAGTTGCAATAAAGAGAGGAGTAAAACAGGGGCCACGTCATGAGCCAGGCCTTAGAGCATATCAAAGAGGGTATTCTCATAAATGGTGAGCGCCTAAATAACATCAGATATGCAGACGACACCATCCTCTTTGAGGTCCAGATAGTTTAGAAGGTTTACAGATACTAGTAAAGCAATTGCGGAGAATCAGTCAAGAATACGGGCTTGATTTTAACATCAAGAAAACAAAGTACATGGTCATCAGTAAGAAGCATATTTCACCTAGTCAATAACTGGTAAATCAGCAACAAATACTGTGCCCCGTTACTACTATTTAGGAACCACCATAAACGACCAATAGGACCACTCAGTTGAGATAAAATAAAGAATTGAAAAAGCCAGGTCAGCGTTTGTCAGAATGAGAAAGATATTTATGAGCCACGACCTATCCTTAAAAACGAAAATCCGTTTATTGAGATGTTACGTGTTTACAGTGCTGCTCTATGGGTTTGAATCATGGAATGGAAACCGAGGCATCCATGGGAAAACTCGAGGCGTTTGGGATGTGAAGTTATAGACGGATACTGAGGATCTCCTGGGTGGACCGAATAACAAACATTGAGGTTCTACGTCGGATGGATAAAACACGTGATATATCCACAGTGAAACAGCGTAAGCTAGAATATCTTGGACATATAATGCGAAACAATCATATATATATATATATATATATATATATATATATATATATATATATATATATATATAACCTGCTGCAACTTGTATTACAGGGGTAAGTTTACGGAAAGAGGGGACCAGAAAGAAGAAGAATATCTTGGCTCCAGAACTTACGAAAATGATTTTCCTTGACCACTTCAGGACTATTTCGAGCTGCGGTCGATAAAGTTAGTTAAAGATAAAGAAAAAACAATTGTTGATACTAAACGCTTTGATTTCTGCTCTTGTTTATTTCTGAACTGAAAATTATGAATTGCATTTTCTAATGGTTTTTCTTAATCTTGCACTTATTCTCAAATTTTGCAATTTTCTTCAGATGTTTTTGGATCTTTACTCTGATCTGCTTGCTGTAGTTACGTGATGTATGAAAATCACTCTTCCTAAGATTTTTCCTAGACTTTAGGAAGGAGATAATCCTTTAGCTGTCAGAACTTCTCCCATTCCTCTATGGCTGGGATATAAAATTATATTTTTTGCAAATTACCAAAATTTAAAATGAGCTGTACAAAATATCAAAATTAACAAATTTTACAATATACTTTACGCATAAGATAATTCTTTGCTAATGTTCTATAATCATTTTGTACAAAACTATGAAAATCAGACTTGTTTCAGAGAGTAAATCTAATAATACAGTATTATGTGTTTAAATTATGCAAAATATTTACCTATTCAACGTGATCGCCACCATATTCAGAACGGAAACTGCGACATTTCCATAAAACAGTACCGGAAATAGCTTGCAGAGACCGTCCCCAAATACCCATGATTCGTAAATATACCTTGCCGCGGTCAACGGCAAATTTACTAAGCAAAATATGAGGTCAGATATGCACAGGGAGAGAACGAACGCTGTAGTGGCATGTATCCTTAATTTCGGACATCTTATTAAGGCTATCACTGTCACCAAATTCCCTAAAACAAAATATAAACTAAATGTAAATTGAAATAATAAATTGAAATAATATGGACAAAATACATTTAAGAAATAGATCAGTAAAAAGCAGGTGCAGAGAAATGTGTATGGAAATTAAGGTAAGTTATAACTAAAATAAAGTCTGCTCTCACGCAGACAGTAACAAACTCACCCCCGACAAAACCACCCTGGTTGAAACTATTCGTTGCTCATTTACAATTTACTTTATTTATATATAAATATTAAATTCGGGAAATTTAACTGATTTAGAAGGTTTAGTTTTGAAAAAATCAGATTTTGAAGAGAAAACGATATTTTCGGAATTTCTCAACAAATCTAGTTTTTCAAATTAACTCAAAAACTCAAAAAGATATAGAGTCTGCACCTTCGTCAGATTTAAATTCGATTAAACATGCATGATACATGTATGTTAGTGAGAACACTAAGATTAAGAATTCTGGTTATTCAAAACGCTGAGGAAGTGAGAAATACTCTAATTAAAATATGGGAGAATCTGCGTTAAGTAACTATCGACCACTTCATTAAAAATATGGGAACACGGGTAGCTGCTATCATAAGGGCTCGTTTGGGGCTCATAGTTTTTGAAAAAAATAATCGTTGTAATTTTGGTTCATTGTTCAGTGTTTAAAACGTTTCGAAATATACAATTGCTTTTTTTGAGAAATATACTATTTTGCCTTTAGTATCGAAACTGCTTCAAACAGCATAAAATATATTAAAACCCAATGGAAAAACTTTTAAAATACTAGGTTTAACATTTGTTATAAGACAAGAAAAAAATATTAAATATACCTCTCTTTTTTAAATTTGTCGGCATATTTATATATAGATATGATGCTTTTTATTCGTTACGTATTTTGAGGTAAGTTGATACTTCCATGAACTGAATCAGTTTTTGAGTTCCTCATTTCGTTAGTGTAATTTAAACACAGTATATACAGTGAACGGCTAATTTATGGAATATTATCATTATTTCGAGAACCGTCGAGTTTTGAGGGAAATCCCGAAACAGGTCGATTTTTGTTATCGTTATGTTTAGCGATGACGTCACCGGTGAGGGTGTAGTGACATAACGGTTAATTTTATAAATAGAAATTCTCTATTTAACGACATTACATTTTTAACTAAAATATTTTTTTAAGGGTACAAAAACAATTTAAATTCAACTAAATTACAACTAATGATTTAATTAATAACGTACTTTAAAGTAACCAAATTATTCATAATAATTATTTTAAATGCCATCTTCAATTGAAGGTCGTCAATTTGAGCCGGTTGAGTACCTTCATAATTTATACAGAAATTACCCATTACAACTTTAACTTTACGCAAAAAATGAAAAGAACTCAAAAAATACGTATTTGCACCTATAGATGAATAAACAATAACCAAAAATTTTTTGTTGAATAAACTGGGGGATTGTTCCTGAGGTTGCCCTTTATAACCTAGGCCACATTACATAAATTCCTGAACTACAGTGTAAAATCACCCTTTTTTCCTCCACAGCCTGGGCTAAATATAAATGGATCATCTACATCCTTGGTTAAGCGATTTCTGGATAATCCTTGCCTTATAGCAACATCGGTAGAAGATCGACAACGGCTTTATCCATACTTCCGTTCAGTAGCTTAAAAATCCTAGTTCTTGTTTTTTTTTTTAATTTCTCCAAAGAATTTGTATTTTGTTTATTAATTTAACGTGATAATCCCTTCATCTGCTAACGTCCAATCGACTATTACTACTGTTCATGTTTTTTTTTATTAAAATAGCTTCGGACCGTTTTGATTTTCCCACTACACTCCGTATATATGTCTTTTGAATGTTTCGCTAAGGGTCACAATGTCAATGAAACACTTACGAATTTCCTTAAATACTTTCTACTAGCAATTTGTTTTATAAGAAGCGGGTAGCCATTCTATCCCTATACGATGGGCACAATTTCTAAAATAAAATTTTGAAAATCCTATGATGTACAAAACAATTTACGAACATGTCGATAACTCCAATCAAATCCCAATAAAACACTATATTAGTCCACACAAATGACTAAAAGACTAAAACGTGATTAAGTATATTTTCAATAGGTGAAAATATAGAGGGTGGCCAAACCAAAACAGAGGGTTTATGAAGAGCTACGACAACATATTGAAAAAGCCAGGGAGTGGTTAATTTTTGATTAAAGGGGGACACATTTTTTGGTATTGTTGATTATTTTCACCCCTAAGCCAGGGTAAGAATTACCCCAACATTGTTTAATAGCAATGGGGTGAAATAAGATATAGTTTAAACACTGTTGAAATTCTCTGTACACTAGTCTTTAAATTTTTAAATTTCGTCCAGTATTTTATTTAATTTTTTACAAAAGTAATACTTTTGGAAATTAATACTCTTAATATTTTTAACTAGTTAGATACTTCTTAGTTGATCAAATGTTCAAACTGATGACCTCTAGCTTCCATACAATGATAAAAGGTTTTGTTCAAAACGTTCTCTCACATTTCAAAGAATTTGTTGAGTGATTCGTCGGCATTCGTTGACAATGCGTTGACGTAAATCTTCTAAATATGCCGGCGGTGTTCTATAGATTTGATTTTTTAGGTATCCTTACAAAAAGAAATTCGGGGCAGACAAATCTGGTGACCGATAAGGCCACTCGATGCTGCCTCTCCTCCCAATCCAATTATGTTAAAAATGTTCGTCTAAATATTGGCAAACATCTTAAAGTTAATAAACAATGGAAATATGATTATCAAAAAAAATGCTACATTGGATAATATTGGTTATAGAAGGTTCGTTTTTATGATTTTGTTTTTCATCATATTTTCTCTGAGCCTACTTACAAGCGTGTAACATAAAAAATATCAAAGTTATTATAAAAATGTTTATAAGCTAAAAGTCAAAACGATTTTTTTAATAACAATTTTAATAAAATGTTGATTTTTTTATTATATCTAAAAACTGAAGCCTCGAAGAATTGTTTGCGATCTGCTAAATACCTCTACAGTCACTGTTTCAATAAGTACTGTTGTTTAAACAATCGTCCTCCAGGATCAAGTAATTTAATAACTTTACAACAGTTGGTAGATATAGCTGAGATTTAGCACACTTCAATAACTCATTAATTGTCATAATTTCAAATAGTTATATTACAGGAAATTGTTCAAAAAACAAAGTTACTGGCAGTATTAGTGAACATATAAGGTTTTTTGTAATTATTTCGGTCAACTTTTTATTTTTATTCAGAAGCTTGCGAAATATATACCTTTTTAAGATCTACAACTTTTATTTGAATCACTTTTCTCTAAAATGTATAGGAATCGTTATATACTCAAAAAATTTTATGGTTATCACTTTTTATGATTAGGGGAAGGCGAGGTAATGATGTCACCTTAAGAGATCATCATTTTTGTGCCTTAATTTTGAGATGAAAGAAATATGTAACTATACTAGCGATCTAAGAACTAAGTTTTTAACTGAAATTAGTTTTCAGAAATTTTTTATTCGCCTTGATTAAGCGAAAATAAACGCAACACTTTTTTGTGCAACGTGGCGGCATTATCCCAGGCCTAGGGGTAATGGCGCCACCTACTGAACTGAAATGGTGGATAAGACTTCTTTATAAAACACGTTCTTAGCAAATATCTTTATTGAAATTTTATTTGGAAACATAAAAAATAACAGTATAATGAATGATAAATGAAAACATAACCTAAAAACAACCTACTATTCTATTCACAGAAGTCACAAACATAATTTTTGGCAATGTGTTTTCCACTACATTGAGATTGAGCCCATTTCGAGGAAAGTGTATAACGATACCAAAGTTCAGTGTCTCCAAATTATCCACAAATTAAATATTTCTCATCATCGGCAAACACAGTGGGTAGGGAGATATCATCATTTAAATCATCATCACAAAGTTTGTAATCATCAAAATTTTCTGACGATGTTTCATCAAAATCGAATTTTGGTCTGATCATTTTCTTTGTTTTTTATTCTTAGAAAGCTCGTCTTCAGATATAAACGTCCTTCTGTTTTGTTTCAATTTTTTTGATTTTTTTCCAATATTTTTGTTATTTTCGGAATCTGTGAAATTTCGTTTCACTGCTTTCGCTTTTTGCTTCAACTCCCTTTTTTCTTTAGCATCTTGCAGGATATCTTTTATTGGTGTCGAAGTCAGGATAATAAAATGTTGCTTTCTATCCTGACCTTTTTGTTTAGGATCGGTCCTGTTAGTTGGCATTGGTGAAATGTCGAGAATGCTTTTTGAAAAATCTACTTTTCCTGACGATGTCCCTGGTTGACTACGATTAATAATCTCGATAGCAGTAGCAGTAGCAGGACTTTCAGGAGGATTTTCATTAATAGGTGCCTCATTAGTAGAGGTATCATTGAGTTTTTCCGAATTTTCCTCCTTGTCTTCAACAATTATTTGCTATATGACTGAATAAGAAGGAGCAAAATCTTCTTCGCTGAATTTATCTGATTTAAACGGAAAAATTCCACATGCTTTGAATCCTGCCACTCGTTTTTCAAGGGTAGCAATCCTCAAGTAAGCTTTGATAAATATCGGAGCAATATCGTATGGAGTGATTTTTTGATGAAAATTTGTTTTCATACAATTATCACTCCTTATTAAACGCATTCTTAAGAGGCCCGTAGAAAGATACATCTAAGTGCGAGGAATGGGATGAAAGCGACACAACTTGAATGTGGTTTGAACGGCAAAAATCATAACATGGCAAAGAAATAATATGGGTTCCATGATTATCCATTAACAGAAGGACAGGGTCCTCTTCAATTGACTTAGTGGTTCTCTGGAAATGTTTCAGCCAAACTAAAAATAAATGTTCGTTGGACCACCCATTGTGTGAACATCTATAAATGGCTCCAGGAGGTTCTCCTCGCTGATGAAACCTCCTCCGTTTCCTTGGATAACTAAAGATTTGGGGTATATATTCCTGAAGCGCTCATGGCACACACTAGTGATATTCTTGCCACGCTCCCCA